CTTCTCAACCTTGTGTTCCCCATTACCAGCTTTCTTGTCCCCTCCTGCCTTCTTGTCCTTGCCCCTGAGCCGGTGTGCCCATTTAGTCTTGTTTTGTTTCATGGGCCCGTCTGATCTTTGGCTGAAGGTTAACCGCAGGAATGACTTCAGTACTGAGTTAAAAGGGTATCTGGGGTCATACTCTCAGGGTTTCTCCAGTCTCTGTCATACCAGTAAGTCTGGACCTTTTTTGTGAGTTAGCATTTTGTCCTACATTTTCTCCAGCTCTGTCCAGGATCCTCTATTGTGATCCCTTTCAGAGCAGTCAGTGGTAGCCAGGTACCATCTAGTTGTGCTAGACTCAGTCTGGTGGAGGCTGTGGTAGTTGTGGTCCGTTAGCCCTTTGGACTAATCTTTCCCTTGTATCTTTGGTTTTCTTCATTCTCCCTTGCTCCAGATGGGGTGAGACCAGTGGAGTATCTTAGATGGCTCTGCACAAGCTTCTTAGACCCAGACGCTACTCATCAAAGTAGTACATAGAACATTTTCTTCATAAACTATTGTCATGGATTGAATTATGTCCCCCCCAAAAAATGTATGTGTCTATTTGACTGGACCATAATTTCCAGTATTGTGTGGTTGTCCTCCATTTTGTGATTGTAATTTTATGTTAAAGAGGATTAGGGTGGAATGGTAACACCCTTACTAAGGTCAAATCCCTGATCCAATGTAAAGGGAGTTTCCCTGGGATGTGGACTGCACCACCTTTTATCTTACAAGAGATAAAAGGAAAGGGAAGCAAGCAGAGAGTTGGGAACCTCATACCACCAAGAAAGAAGCACCAGGAGCAGAGCGTGTCCTTTGGACCTGAGGTTCCTGAGCAGAGAAGCTCCTAGTCCAGGGGAAGATTGACAAGAAGGAGCTTCCTTCAGAGCTGACAGAGAGAGAAAGCCTTGCCCTGGAGCTGCTGACACCCTGAATTTGGACTTGTAACCTACTGGACAGTAAGAGAATAAATTTCTCTTTGTCAAAGCCACCCACTTGTGGTAGTTCTGTTACAGCAGCACTAGATGACTAAGATAACTATGTTGTGCCAATTGAGCTATATTTTCCCTGAGACCATGGTCCCCAGCCCTCAGCCCAGTAATTTGGTCCCTCAGGGAGTTTGGATGTGTCTATGGAGCTTCTGGAAACCCTGGTGGTATAGTGGTTAAGAGCTATGGCAGCTAACCAAAAGGTTGGCAGTTCAAATCCACCAGGCGCTCCTTGGAAACCCTATTTGGCAGTTCTACTTTGTCCTACAGGGTAGTTATGAGTTGGAATTGACTCAGTGGCAATAGGTTTGCTTTTTTGGTTTATGGAGCTTCCATGTCCTTGCCTTGGTCAAGTTGTGCTGGCTTTAATAATTCTTATAAGTTTGGTTTGATTTTTTACAAATTCCCTTAATTTCTGTTTATCTGGATATGTCCTAATTTTGCCATTATATTTGAGAGAGAGTTTTGCAGGTTATATTATTCTTGGTTGATGATTTTTTTTCTTCGAAGGTTTTTCATGTGTCATCCCATTTCTTTCTTGCCTGCATGGTTTCTGCCAAGTAATCAGAGTGCTATTGTTTCTCCTTTGTATGTGACTTTTCGATTTTCTCAAGCTACTCTCAGGATTCTTTCTTTGTGTTTGGTTTTGGAGAGTGTGATTATGATATGTCTTGGTGACTGTATTTTGGGGTCTATCCTATATGGGGTTTGCTGAGCTTCTTGGATGGTCGGATTTTCATCTTTCATAAGATTAGGGAAGCAAATCTTCAATGATCAACTGTATGCTTTCCATTTCCTCCCTCTATTCTGGAATTCTGATCATGTACAAATTTTTGCTCTTGATTGTATGCCACACAGTTCTTAGGTTTTCTTCACTCTTCATTCTTTTCTCTGATTTTTCCTCAAACAAAGTGGCATATATGGTTTTGTCTTCAATTTTGCAGATTCTATCTTCCATTGTTTCAAATTTGCCCCTAAAACCTTTTATTACACTATCCATTTCTGAAATGTTGTTTATCTTTTAGATTTCTAATTGCTGTTTTTGTACGATTTCTAATTGTTTATTTAGACATTTTGTTCTTGTATTATTTTCCTGAATTCTTCTATTGCTTTGTCTGTATTTTCCTCGATTTTGGCTATGTTTTGGTTTGTTTTTTCTGTTTTCTATGATTTTGTCTTTGTTTTCCTTGGTCTGTTTCCTAATCTCTTGGAGAGCCCTGAATATTAGACTTTCGAGCTCCCTATCAGGTAGTTTCAGTGCCTTTTCTTATGCCAGGAGGTCATCTGCTGCTTTATTTTGGTCACTTACTGGAGCCATCTTGTCCTGTTTTTATATGTTTTGATGTTGTCTGCTGTCTCTGAGATATTCAGATATTATTTTCTTTATTTATTGATTGTAGGTTTGTTTGTTTCATCCTGCTTTTTTATTTTGTTTGGTTATATCTGGGCAGGTGTGCTTTGTTGCTTGTTCATCTGTGGGCATGATAGTTCTCACCACCTTGTCCAAGTGTACAGGGCCAATCACTCAGCTATGGTCAGCCGGGCAGGTCCAGCGGGGGGAAGGGTGGAGATGGGTCATTTGTTTGTGGTGTGAACATGGCCAGAGCCTGGGGCTGGAGTGGGGCCTGTGGCAGGGCAGGGCTGGAGCCAGTGGGGAGGGTTTGGGGTCCGGGCTGGTCCCTCCGGGGCTTTGGAGCACTTTGAGAGGCGGGGGCTGAGTCAGCAGTCAGGGTCCCCCTTGGGGCCTCGGAGCACAGCATGGCAGGGGCCAAGCTAGCAGGGAGGGGTCTGGGGTCTGGCTGGCAGGGCAGAGGAGAGAGGTGGGGAGGGGGGCGAATGCAGGGGCAGAGGGGGCTAGATGGAGGAGCACAACAGGGTGGGCTGGTACTGTGGTTCCCGGCAGTTGGGGCTGCCAGGATGGGGCAGTTCTTGTCAGTATTCACCAGAGGGGTGGGGGTTGTAGGAGTGTGCTCCTGTGGTTACCAGGTGAAAGAATCTGGGCTCCTCCTTGAGTTGCAGCCAGAAACGTGATCTTACTTAGCCCTGGCTATGTCTGCGCTGTACCTTTATCTCCTATTGAGAATTCCATGGAGGTGCCTTTCTGCACATGGGGTTGTTGGCTTTATTCCAAGAAGACTACGCTGAGTCATACCATTTGGCCAGGAACTTCTACTCCGTATCTCTACTTCTTCTCTGTTTTCTATCAGTTTCTTCTTCTCAGTGACTTCCGGTCTAATACTTTGTCCCTTCATTTAAGGTTTAGAGTTCCAGGATTGACGTCTGTATCTGTTTTACTGGGTTTTTTTTGGTTTTTGTTGCAGAAGATAGGTTAATGCATCTGACTAGTCTGCCATCTTGGCTCTGCCCCCACTGAAGTCTTAATGTGGAATCAATCAGTGGATTACAGGGATTGAACTAATAGTGTCAAGAACATGGCAAATACTCTTTCTTGAGCACTTAATCATGTGCAAGTACTTTGCTAATAAAGGAAGTTCACATCAGTATAAGTATCAGAGCTATTACTGACACCTAGACAATCCAACTTAAGGTATGTGTCTTAGTCATCTAGTGCTGCTCTAACAGAAGCATCACAAGTGGATGGCTTTAACAAAGAGAAGTTTATTCTCTCCAAGTCCAGTAGGCTACAAGTCCAAATTCAGGGCATCAGCTCCAGGGGAAGGCTTTCTCTCTCTGTCGGCTCTGGAAGAAGGTCCTTGTCATCAGTCTTTCCTTGGCCTGGGAGCATCTCAGCACAGGAACCTCAGGTCCAAAGGACGTGCTCTTCTCCCGGCACTGCTTTCTTGGTGGTATGAGGTTCCCATGTGTCTCTGCTCGCTTCTCCCTTTTATATCTCAAAAGAGATTGCATTAAGACACTGTCTAATCTTGTCAACCTCATCAGTATAACCTCATCACAGTGACAGAATTTACAGCACACAAGGAGATCGCGTATAATCTCATCATAGTGATAGAGTTTGCAACACATAAGGAAGTCACATCAGATTACACAATCATACAACACTGGGAATCATGACCCAGCCAAGCTGACAGATATTTTTGGGGGACACAACTCAATCCATGACAGTATGCATAGTGCATTTCAGAGTCAGATGATTTCCACGGTCTCTTCTAACTTCAAGTACTGTGAATCTTTTTAGAAGGAATATTTGTCCTTTACTTTTGTTGATATCTTCCATCCCCTATACATAGGTTAGTGAGGAGAGGTATGTCCCTTAATGGTAAAGCTGGGATGGGGGGCACTGGGCTTGAGTTACTTAACTGTGTATTGGGCTTGGCTCATAGGTGGATCTAAGAAGACTTGTCTTTGCTTCAAGAATTTCTAAGGGTATAAACAAATGCAGCAGGAACTCATAGGAAATGAACATAATAGTTACATAGTAACTCTGACTTAGGCAAAAAAAGAGGGTTTTTTAGAAGACTTCCTCCTCTGTAAGTCTGACTTTTACATCAAAAAGTAGATGTATTATTCTAAAAATTGACTAATATAACCATGTATTATTAGTCTTAATTATTTGTGTATACTAAAGCCTGCTTTTTCTTCACAACTTTATCTTATTGGCTTGATACCCCTACTTAAGTAGGCAGTGTTTATGTAGCAAGAAGTATTAGACCTCAATCTGTATTGTCTAATACAGTAGCTGTCTTATGTGTGGTTATTTAAATTTAAACTTTAAAATTAAATAAAAAATTCACTTGCACTAGCCACATTTCAAGTCCTCATTAGACACACGTGGCTAGTGGCTACCATGCTGGACAACACAGATACAGCACTTTTCCGTCATCCCAGAAATTTTATCTGACAGCACTGCCTCAAATTATCAAGCTTTGATTTGCATAATAAAAACAAGTTTTAAATTTTTCTTTTTAGTTTCTTTGCATGTTACAGTTTTATCATATACAGTTTTCAGAAAAAATGTGTGGTAAAATCTGAAATAATACAAATTTTTGTTCAATATGCTATTTTCAGGTTATTGAAGACAAAGGAGAGTTCAGTGTTCCAAGCTGTTATGGAAATATTAAAAATGATAATGGTGGTTCTAGCCTTACTTTTGAGCATCCTTTAGATGATGTGAATGTAGTTGATTTGAAATGGATCCATGACTTCGTATTAAAGTCTCTGGAAGTTTTGTATCAAGTGGAGAAATGGGAAACATTAGTATCTCTTGCCATTAAGTTCAATGCGATTTCGCAGTAAGTACTGATGTCAGGGCAATTTAAAGTAACAGCCTTCACTGGAAAAACAAAAAAACATGAGTTATAAACTAAAGTTTGGTTTTTAATGTATTCTTTACCCCATCTAGTGAGAGGTATACAGAACAAGTGACACCACTACTGGTGTATGCTCAGCGCCAGCTTCTTCTAAGAATACAGAATTTCAAGGGCCCGAATATTACCCAGCAACCTTGTGAAAGGTATGAGGCTGAGAAGGTAAGTCTTTGGCTCTAATATTCATGCAGTGATAATTTCATCAGAGTACTAACATTATGAATCAGATAAATGATATAAATGTTATTTTCCATTGGGCATTTACCACTCAAATAAGCAAACATAATTGAGAGTTTGCTATGTGCTAGTATTTTCCAGGTACAGGGTAAACAAAATTGAGCCCTTGCCACAAGTTGCTTGTAGTCAGGTCAGACTTGATTCCATTAGGGACAGAGGGGAGAGTGCCTAGTGTCCACAATGCTTTTAGGGGCCCATGAAAATATTTTAATATCTCTTAAAGTCAAAAGAAAAAAATGAACTTTTACGTCAAAGAAATTGACAGGTAGTAGACATATAATGTTGTTGTGTGCTGTTGGGTTGATTCTGACTCATAGCGACCCTATGTGACAAAGCAAAACTGCCCCATAGTGTTTTCTAGGTTAGCGGCTGAGTACTTAACCATTGCACCACCAGGGCTCCTTTGGACATCTATACGTTATATATTTTTTAATGTAATTATACATTTAAATTATATTTTATAAATATATCATAATATTTATTTTGCCAACACAGTCATAAAATGTAACTTTTAATATTTTTTATAGAGGAAGTGGTCTCTGAAAGCAAAAATGCCTAGGTTAGTATTTGAATAACTGGGAGAAGTTGTGTATATGCCACAAAATGGCTACTGCCCTCACTTTTGTCCTCACAGTTTAGCCTAGTCAAACTGATTCATCAAAAAACCATAACTCTACCTAATCAACATCTCCTCACAGATGTTTAACACACACCTGAAACTTAACATATTGCAAACAAAGTTGTTCCACACATAATCCTCCCACCTCGATGGATGACAAATCCATCCTTCCAGCTGCTCAGACCAGATACGTTGAAGATATCCCTGACTCTTTTGCTCTCACACCCCATGTCAAATTGGTCACCAAGTCCTGTCACCAGAACTACTTTCAAAATTTAACCAGTCAGTCAGTGGTACAAACAGTTAATGTGCTGAACTGCTAACCAAAAGCTTGGAGGTTTGAGTCTATCCAGAGGCCCCTCAGAAGAAAGCCCTGGCAATCTGCTTCTGAAAAACCAGCCATTGAAAACCCTGTGGAGCACAGTTCTGACACATGGCATCACCATGAGTTGGAATCAACGACAACTTTTCTTCTCCAAGCCATTGTTAGATTAGCTTGGATTATTGTAATAGCCCTCCTAGTTAATCTTCTTGCTTCCAGCCTTCTTTCATCCCTCCCCTCAGTTCTATTCTCAATACAGAAAATAGAATGACTCTTAAAAAACTCAAATCAGACCATGTTTTCTTCTGCTTAAAACCCTATGTTGACTTTCCATATGATTCAGAGTTAAAATGAGCATGCTTATGGATTATCATTAATGCCCTACATGACTTATCTGCCTGTTTCCTCTCGTAATTCATCTTTTATTACTCCCCTGCAGATTTCAGCCTCACTGGGGTTTTTTTTTTTCTTTTTTCCAGTTGTGCTGCTATTCTCACTTTATTTATTTATTTTGATTATACTTCAGGTGAAGGTTTACAGAACAAATAGTTTCTCATTAAGCAGTAGTATACATACGGTTTTATGACATTGGTTAACAACCCCACGACATGCCAACCCTCTCCCTTCTCGACCTTTTTTTTTTTCTTTTCTGGTGAAAATATACATAGTCAAAGATACACCATTTCAAAAATTTCTACATGCACAGTTCAGTGACATCAACTGCGCTCTTCCAATTATGCTGCTATTCTCACTTTAGATGAAGGTTTACAGAACAAAATAGTTTCTCATTAAACAGTTAGCATATTGCCCTATGACAATGGTTAACAACCTCACTACACATCAACGCTGTCCTTACTCAACTTTGGGTTCCCTAAAGCCTCACTGTGTTTTAAGATGTTTCCACCTCAGGGTCTTTGGCTTGGAATGCTCCTCCCTCAAATATCTACATTGCTATTTCCTCTCACCTTTTTCTAATCTTTGCTAAATGTCACATTCTCTGTGAGTCTTTCCTAACAACTCGATTTAAAATTATGTGTCTGTTTGCTCTATTTCTCTCTCTAGCATTTATGACTGTTTAATATAGTGTATAATTTACTTGTCTATTTTGTTTGTTATCTCTCTACTCCCACTAGGATGCAGGTTCCATTAGAATAAGGAATTTTATTTATCTTGTCCTCTGTTATATTATCCCTAAAGCTTGAAACAGTGCCTGGCACATAATAGGTGTTCAGTTAAGAGTTTTTTTAATGAAGCTAGAGAGGTAAAAGGGAACAGATTAAGTAAGGCTTTATTAGACTTATTTTATTAGACTGCGTTTATATCTCATTATAGAAGTGTCCACAAGGGGCAGTAGAGAGGAAGCATCTAAATGAGACTGGAGTTCAAAGGGGACTGTATTTTGAGTGGTAGGTTAGTTCAAGGGTTGGAATGGGGAAGTGCAAAGGAAGAGATCTTGGACCTTTTAAAATAATTTCCTTCTATCTAAAATATTTGTTTTCAGATATTTTATAATTGTAGGATTCGAATATCTGTCAGAAGATAAATCGTGAAAAATGCTACAGAGGAATTTAGTTCTGTAAAACTTTACCAGGAAAGTTTAAATTGCATTAATCATGAGTAGGGTGCAAAAAATCTTCCATTGGAAAAACAGCTTATATTTTAAACAGTTTTCAATTTAGATGCTGTAAGATATATTTAGACTAGTGAATTTATAGAATATTGAAACATTTTAATTGCTGTACATAATTTGCCTAATGCTCTTCCACCTGTGGTAGACAAAAGAAATACCAAAAAATATGTAGCCATTTTTTCCAGAAAGTTGCTCATGACTGAATGCTGTATGTCAGCTTTTATTTGTAACATCATTTTGTATCTCCTTATTTTGACAAATACAAAATGAAACAAACATTTCAAGCCATATTTTTAGTTATAAATACCTAAGTAATATTTGTTTTCATCTTTGTTTTTAAAGATCACCTGCCGAAATTTCGTTGGGAAGCAGCTCAAGATTAATCCTCCAACCAATAAAGTGACATATATGGGAAACTGGGCAGATTTACTAAAAAAGCTTATCAGTTCAGGTCAGAACCAATATTAGCTTGAAGTTCTTTCTATTTTCTTTAAAGCACAGTTTGCCATTGTGCTCTGCATGTCAAATCTTCCATAATTAAAAAACATTTGTAAAACTTCTTTTGCAGATTTATTTGACTGAAAGTAATCCATTTGTTATTACTATCTTATATTGATATAAATGTCACCTAAGATGGATTAAAAACACATTTTTGTTAATTTAAAATTTGTTGTTGTTGGTAGGTACTGTCGAGTCAGTTCTGACTCATAGCAACCCTGTGTACAACAGAACGAAACACTGCCCGGGCCTGTGTCATCCTCTCAGTCATTGCTATGTTTGCAGCCATTGTTGCAGCCACTGTGCAGTCCATCTTGTTGAGGGTCTTCCTCTTTTTCAATGACCCTCTACTTTACCAAGCACGATGTCCTTCTCCAGGGACTGGTCCCTCCTGATGACATGTCCAAAGTATGCGAGACGAAGTCTCACCACCCTCACTTCTAAGGAGCATTCTGGCTATACTTCTTCCAAGACAAATTGGTTCGTTCTTCTGGAAGTCCCTGGTATATTCAATATTCTTTGCCAACACCGTAATTCAAAGGCATCAGTTCTTCAGTCTTCTTTATTCATTGTCCAGCTTTCCCATGCATGTGAGGCGATTGAAAATATCGTGGCTTGGGTCAGGCACATTTTAGTCCTCAAGGTGACATCTTTGCTATTTGTAAGTTAAGTTTATAAGTTAAAGAAGGGAAATGAAAGATGACGAGCAATTAATGGGAAAAATAGGAGAAGGATGTTTTGCATATTTTTCCCTGTTTTGTTTTGTTTGTTTATTTTAATCTCACTTGGGGACTCTTCAGATTGACCTTTTTGTATTTTCTTTATTCTATCTTGACTCTCATAATAACTTCCATTTCCATAACCAAAATAGAGTATTTTTCCATTGGCTTTTCCATGGTGAAGTTGTATGTCAAAATTTTAACTATAGCATAGGAGAAAGTTTAGGAACATCATGAATTCTTTACTTTTAGCTGATAAACTATCTTGGAATGCTTTTGGCAGTGCAGCTTGTAGGAATCAGGCAATAGAATAAGATGAAAATGGAAATAATGCCTGCTCTGAACTGTACTTTCTGTGTGTCTCTGGTTCTGATATAGAAAAGAAATTTCAGGTCTTCCCTTTGAAGGATTAGGGTTCTTTCTTCTATTTATCTATTCATTTTATGTATTTATTTTATGTATATGTGTGTCTGTCTGCATGTATTTATTCATTAATTTATTCAGTCCATCTGTCAGTCATTCAGCAAACACCTACTGAGTACCTTCTATGCGATAAGTGCTGTACTAGGTACTGAGAGTACAAAGATGAATGAGGCTTAATATTTGTCATCCAGGAGCTTACAGTCTATTGCAGGCAATGAATAAATAAACCAGAGATTACAGTAGAGAGTGATAAGAACTGTAATATTAGTACTACTATTGCTGCTGCTGCTATAAGCAATAATACTTAACAGCTAGAATCTTCTTTCAAGAGACTACAAGTAATTCAGTGGCGCTAAAGTGAAAGGAAAAGATAAAAGGTGAGGTTAGAAAGGTTGGCAGCCTGACTTAGATAACAAAAGGTCTTAGAGGACAGGACAAAGAGATCCAACTTTGCCTGGATTACTGAGGAGAGCTGGTGAAGGGTTTAAAGAAGGATAAGGAAATGACTGCATTCACATTCTTGAAAGAACCTTCAGCAGCAGTGTGCGGAATGAACTGAAAGGAGAACACGTGGAAGCAGAGAGAGCAGCTACTGCTGACTTGTGTATTATGGTAGACACGATGAAGGCCTAAGCTTAGGCAGTGAGAGTAGAGTAATGGACAGAGAAAGGCAGAGGAAATCCACAGGACTGTGTTCTGAACTGGTGAGATGTCAGAGATGAATGAGGAAGGAAGGAGTTCAAGTTGCCTTGGTTTCTGGCTTGGGTGGCTAGATGGATGGTGATGCCTTCTACTTGGACAAGAAAACTGAAGGGAGGGGCAGGTTAGAGGAAAGGATGTTTTAGAATTACAGAGTTTGAGTTTGAGGCACCTGAGTGATAACTGAGTAGAGCTATCCAGTCTATGGTTGGATATAATAGTAAGGCACTCTCAGAGAGTTGGGTTGGAGATAATATGTATTTCAATCATCAATTCATTGCTGGTGGTTGAAGTCAGGGGCTTGTATGAAGTAACCCAGGCAGAGTTATGTGGAGTGTAGATCTGAGGATGGTCTCCTGGGTAACACCAACGTTTGGGAAACAGTGTCAGTTAGAATGGGTGAGGTTACACAGCAGTAACAAACAACCTCAAAATCTCATTCCTTTAACACACAAAAAAAGTATATTTCTTGACCATGCTACAGTAATCAATGACATTGACTACAGCACCTCTGCTCATTATGGGTTGAAGGAATCTCCACCTGGTCACAAGATTCCATAATTGCCAAGGCAGGAAACAGAACACTAATATTACTCTATAGAATAGCTACACTGACAAGCGCATAGTGGCTGGTTAAGAGCACAGCCTTTGAGGCCAGACCTCATGTGCATATACTGTATGCCTGATGCTAAGGGCTTTACATGGATTCTCTCATTTAATCATTATAAGAATCCCAATGCAAGACTGATTATTATGTGTTGTGCATCAGGCCCGCTTAAAAATGCTTTGTGAATATTAACTTACAACCACCTACTGAGGTAGGTTTATTATTTTCTCCATTTTCAGGCAGGAAAAGAGGAGGTGGTAAATCATCCTCTGGCTCTTAAAGCTTCTACTTGGAAATGACACACGTCACTCTGCTGGCGTTTCACTGGTCAAACTTAAAAAGAGGTAGGGAAGTGTGATTCTACTAAATACCCAGGATAAAGAGAAATAGAATATGTGAAGAGCCCTAATGACTGTCACAGGAGCAAACAGAGGAGGAGTAACCTCTGAAAGAGATTGGGGCATGGCCTAAGAGGTGGGAGGTATGAGTGGTATAAACGAGGCCCAAGGCAGGAGAGAGGTTTAAGGAAGAGAAAGCAGTCATTAGTCAGAGAAAGATCATGCAAGAAGACAGAACTGTCTGTTGCATTTGGCAATATGGTAGGTCATTGTCACTGACCGTTTTGTTGTGACACCCCCACCTTAGGGCCTTGCTTTAGCTGTCCCCTTCCTGAACTGCTCTTCCCCCACCTAGATATTTGACTGACAAACTCCTCACCTCCTTTAAGTGTTTGTGCACATCTCTTTTCAATGAAGACTATATTGACTGTTCTATTTAAATCTGTACTCTGCTTGTTGTTGTTGTTAGGTGCTGTCGAGTTGGTACTGACTCATAGCGACCCTATCTGTGTACAACAGAATGAAACATTGCTCCGTCCTGCACCATCCTCACCGTCATTGCTGTGTTTGAGCCCATTGTTGCAGGCACTGTGTCAGTCTGTCTCCTCGAGAGTCTTCCTCTCTTTCTCTGATCCTCTACTTTACCAAGCATGATGTCCTTTCCAGGGACTGGTCCCTTCTGATAACATGTCCAAAGTATGTGAGATGGAGTCTCGCCGTTCTTGCTTCTAATGAGCATTCTGGCTATACTTCTTCCAAGACAGATTTGTTCATTCTTTTGGCAGTCCATGGTATATTCAGTATTCTTCTCCAACACCATAGCTCAAAGGTATCAATTCTTTAGTCTTCCTTACTCATAGTCCAGCTTTCACATGCATATGAGGTGATTGAAAACACCATGGCTTGGGTCAGGCACACTTTAGTCTTCCAGGTGACATCTTTGCTTTTTAACACTTTAAAGAGGTCTTTTGCAGCCGATTTGCCCAATGAAATATGTCATTTCATTTCTTGACTGCTACTTCCATGGGTGTTGATTGTAGATCCAAGTAAAAGGAAATCCTTGACATCTTCAATATTTTCTCCATTGATAGTGATATTGCTTATTGGTCCAGTTGTGAGGATTTTTGTTTTCTTTATGTTGAGTTGTAATCCATAGTGAAGGCTGTAGTCTTGGATCTTCATCAGTAAGTGCTTCAGGTCCTCCTCACTTTCAGCAAGAAAGGTTATGTCATATGCATTTTACAGGTTGTTAATGAGTCTTCCTCCAATCTTGATGCCGCGTTCTTCCTCCCATAGTCTGGCTTCTCAGATTATTTGCTCAGCATACAGATTGAATAAGTATAGTGGAAGGATACAACCCTAATGCACACCTTTTCTGATTTTAAACCACTGAGTATTCCCTTGTTATGTTTGAACAACTTCCTCTTGGTCCACGTACAGGTTCTGCATGAGCACAATTAAGTGTTCTGGAATTCCCATTCTTTGCCACATTATCCATAATTTGTTATGATCCACACAGCTGAATACCTTTGCATAGTCCATAAAACACAGGTGTAAACATCTTTCTGATATTCTCTGCCTTCTGCCAAGATCCATCTGACATTAGCAATGATATCCCTCGTTCCACGTCCTCCTCCGAGTCCAACTTGAATTTCTGGCAGTTACCTGTTGATGTACTGCTGGAACTGTTTTTGAATGATCTTCAGCAAAATTTTACTTGCATGTGATATTAATGATATTGTTCAATAATGTCCACATTCTTTTGCATCACTTTTCTTTGGAATGAGCACAAATATGGATCTCTTTCAGTCAGTTGGCCAGGTAGCTGTCTTCCAAATTTCTTGACATAGGTAAGTGAGTGCTTCCAGTGTTGAATCCGTTTGTTGAAACATCTCAGTTGGTATTCCATCAATTCCTAGAGCCTTGCTTTTCACCAATTCTTTCAGTGCAGCTTGAACTTCTTCCTTCAATACCATTGGTTCTTGATCATATGCTACCTCCTGAAATGGTTGAATATCGACCAATTCTTCTTAGGTACAGTGACTCTGCATATTCCTTCCATATTCTTTTGATGCTTCCTGCATCATTCAATATTTTGCCCATAGAGTTCTTCAGTATTGTAACTCAAGGCTGGAATTTTTTCTTCAGTTCTTTCAGCTTGAGAAAT